CTTTTAACTGATTCATTATTTTCCTTTGTTTGTCGAAACAAAAATGTTCGTTCTCGCGTTTCTATTTCTCTTCTAAGAAATTTTAATAATTCCGTTACATTCCAAGAATCGTCTTTTTCATGCTGTCTATAAAAATCTAGCACAATGGAATCTGGAATAAGTTTGGTTATTAGTGGAAACAACCAAGTTTCATATGAATTCAGTTCGACACCAAGAGTTTGTAAACCCCTCGCTTGGATTTCTATCGTATCGTATAACTCCCTTAACTGTTTCAAATACGAAGCTGATTTTACTGCGTTTAAATTTAACAAATGGTTAATATGAGATCTTACAATAATTTCTTTTTTTCCGTACTGCTAAATCATAATTATTTTCCGATACTAATAATCCTTGAATACTAATTAAGGTTGGTCCTTTCAAGAAAGCTTTAAGATAATCATATTTATCTACTTTAGATAAGCGTTCATTACTGTGAATCGTATTATCAAACTGCGACCAAAATTCCTAAAACTTCTCTAAATTACCCTCAAACGATTCTATATGAAATTTCGGCAAATTTATTCTCGGTTTGTCTGGTTTACTATTCGAAATAAGTGAAGAATTATTCTTCAACGAAAAATCTGCCTTATTTCTATCTGAATTCTGGAGATAATTCTTGACTTTCAATTTTGCGTATATCTGTATTCCTGATTATTTTCGACTTCTGTTTCGAGATCAGATACTTCAGGAATTAAATTCTCAATTTCTAGATCTAACTTAAATATCTGATATGCTTTTTCTTGTAGATTCATCTCACATTCTTCTAATGATTTTGTACCTACAATAATGTTCCAATAATTCAGATATTCTGTTAATTACTCGTGTTGTTAACCTTCTTAGAGTTTTACGTTTCGTTTTTGCTTTATCTAAAGCTTTTTTGTAGTCTCATCCGTAATATTAACTAATATTATAATTCTATACTTCTAAATTCTATATTATGTTAGAAATATTCTACAGTTCGCATGCATTCAAATTTTTAAAAACGAAACTTACCCCTTCTTCCACGCTCTTAGACGCGAGTCATTCAATGCGTGCTTGCATCAATCATCTCGCTTCTAAAATGTTAGCTTTATTCTCCGTTATTAATCTCAAGACGGCTAGGGGTAAGTTGGGCTTTCACTTTGCATTCAATCGGGATAACTCTTGCATTTTATAAATTCTTTATTATTACAGTAAATATATACATATATACATATCGTTACGGAACATTCTTAACCTTAATCACATTCTCTTGCTTCCCGATTCTGATTGCCATCGAGCGCCCCCTATCGGCGGCTTTTCTACAATGCCATCTATCGGCTCATAATATCTGTGCTGGTAATTAATTCACGCCTGTGCGAGAATTCGGCAGGTTGATTGTAGGATCTAATTTAGTTTATGTGAAATAACAGAGCCAGAGCTTACAACTGTATCTATTATTATTATTAATCATAACTGTGCTACAAATTATTACAATAGCAATGTAGAATAAACGATATTTGTGTACATCTCGTAATCATCATTAAGCACTTAACCAACATGCTGTTGTGCATGGATTGAGTTCAAAAATCTCATGAAAAGTTAATAGAATTTCTTCTTATCACAAGAAATAAAACAAAATGCTGAAATTTTTCCTCACATGTATTCGTACAATATCACACAGTAGTTGTAATTTAAACTACTAAAACGTTAAACAGAATACAATTCAAAGCGCAGAGAAAGCTAATCCGATCTCAAAATTATAGCAGAAGTAAACAACAACAACTAGTAAACAACTGAACAGAGATGTTTTTCTCCGGTTTTTTAAAGCTTTTTAATCGTGCACGAGAACATTTTGATAATTTATATTTTCTCGAGGTTTGTGGAAAGCAAAGCAGTAGGATTACAATAAAGCTAACACACAATTGCATTTATTCAATTTAAATATAAATTATAAGATATCTATTTATTAGATGCGCGTGCTCCTGTGTTTTTACTTTTTCGACGTAGCTTTCTCTTAAAACTCGTCTGTTAAAATCCGTAACAATATAAAAATAAAACAATCACTGTCTTTTATTATTGGAATAAGTTTCTTTCGATTTTCTTTAGCTTACTGGGCACTGGCAATGCCAATCGTGTCAACTATTCAGTTTGTGACAAGTAAAAGTATTTTTTAAAGTATCATAAGGTAAGGAAAGCTTGTGATATTTTTTTTCCTTGGTGGCAATCAAAATGTTTGTTAAATTTTCTACCATTGCCTAAAGGCTCATTCACGCACTATCCTAAAACTTCCTTATTTTGTTGGTTTACACATCCCTCGCTGAATAGTACGCAATGATATTGCATAATGTTATGCAATTATGCAATATTGCAATTGTCATCTTTAATTTCAGAATAAGCTAGCCAAAAATATTCAAATTAAAGCGAATATTTATATTTTCTATTAATAATTTCATTTGCAAATAAAGAGCTGGGAAACATATATTTCGCTTTTAAAGCCCAAGTATTTTAAAGAAAATCAAGATTTTCTGTTACTATATACAAAGTTTGGTGCACCATATTTTTTTATCTTGGAGAAGAGTTTCAGTTTTAACTAAAGGGATCGCATAGTCATATGACTTCAAATCAAAAGTACTTGTAGAAGTACAACTTTGCGTATGAATTTCACTTTCAACTTGCTGTTGAATCTTAGGATTCATGAGTTAACATTCGTGATCATTTATATGTGATATTTCTTTGCTAGCATTTCATTTTTTTTAATTCAGCTTCGTGATAATTCTAAAAATATTTTTACAGGAAATGTTGTCTCTTCTTATTCAGTTTGAAATTATTTGATTAGCGCAGGTTTCCTAACTGTATTACTCTGCCTTGGTGTTCAATAATAAAATTAAGTACGATTAATATTACTGAATCATGTTACTCTTCACTAGTGCTACAGCTTAATAGTAGTTCAAGTGTAAAGTCTAAAGAAAACGTGATGTGAATTCTGTCATTTTAACAAATTACCACCCGATATTCAGAAATGTAAAATAAGGGACAGGAAATAAGGCTAAGGAAGAGCGAATACTGTTTAACTAAGGTTAGTATAGCGACAGGGTGAGAAAAGTGGAAGCGCTGCTGAAGTAACGGTACCTGAGGCCTTAAAAGCAACGTTTCCCAACCTTTCTTGTGCTATGCCCCGCCTAATCCTCTCTAAAATTCTTATCCTATCCCTAGCAAATACATAATTTTTAATATTCAAAAATTGAAATATTAATGAAAGAAACTTGGATGGTAGTTTTTAGGAAGAAATTTTTAAGCATTTGAATGTCCGTGTCTACAGCGAAAATTATGTATAAAATATTCAAAATGCACCGCACTATGTTTACATCACTAACATTATTCTCTATTTTTGGGAATAAAAAATTAAACTTAAAAAAATTTCGACATCTTGAAGAAAATTTGGAAATTTGAGCGTCCCTTGTCATCTCAAAGTCTGAACGAGTTCATTTTTGCATTGCCCCCCTTTAACAATCTAATTGCCCCCCCTGTGGAGCGTGGGCACTACGTTGGGAAACACTGCCCTAAAGGGACTCAAGATGTCCTTTCTATAATCCATAGTTCTATTTGGGAGAGCTTTCGATTTGTATATTCGATTCAAATCACTACTTCAATTAAGTCTTAATGACTTTTGTTTACACACATCTTTTATATTACAATATATACATAATTCGAGATTAATTTCAAATCAAAAGATGGGGATTATCCACCCTTCGTATGAAATTCTATCGAGAGAAACCGAGCCAGCGACCGCTCTCTTCCAAGTTCGTTTTCGACTTCTCGTTGCCACTGGCAGAAGAGAAACTTTCGCTCATTTCGCGTTAGAGTTGTAACAAAAGAATATTCGTTTTCAATTTTTTGTTTTCAAGGGTAATTTTGGCAAATAAGATGTCATGTGCAGTCTGGGGGACCTGACTCAGTGGGTAGGAGTAGCACTCTAACTGGCTATCTTTGGTCTTCCGAAATACTTTAAATTTGCATTATTATATTCACATCTATCTTCACTTCCTGGAGGTGTGTTTTTAACTAATGTGAATCGGAATTTCTTTACCTACACTCTACTGTTTTACAACGTTCATTAGCCTGATTATTACAGCGGATGTTCATCAGCTGTTTAATAGGACATTTAATAAATAATAAGTATAAGGTTTAACAAAATAGGCATGCATAAACAATTTCCATAGGAAAAAAACTAAAGGATAAGGCAATCCAAAAGGAATTAATAAGAAATAATAAATTCAATAAGAAAATTAGGAAAATAATTCCACCTTTAGTTTTATCAATTTTTTTGTAGAAGAAAATATTGCCATCTTTTGTTTTTGTCAATTTTTTGCAGAAGAAAATATGCATATTTAGGATGCACAAGGCCCTTTGCACACCCTCTGGGTGTGCACACCCCACTGATCATATTAACTGAATTGTTGATCAAAATAAGCGATTACACGTTTTCGCATGCAGACCATAGAGCTAGTAATACTATTAGTATTATTATTACTATATCGGTGATACAAACAGCCGAGATTCAGCAATTCAATAGATTATACTGCATGCAAAAACTCTTAAAAAAAATAAAAAAATATTTCACCTTAAGTAAAGCATTTTCCTCTAAACTACGTAGTTTTCAAGAAACTTTGTTGGTTTCTCTATGGTGTAAGTTGTTGCAAATCTTTCAAAATATATTAAAGGTTGAATTAGATTTCATAATTAAACTTCGATTATTAAAAAAATTACTAAGGCAAAAAAAAGGAAGATAAAGATTTGATTGATCGTATTTTTTGAAGATTAATTTTCCAAGTGCTTAACTTTTACTGTTATTTAACATAACAGTTTTGATTATATTTTTTGTTAGTAATATCACACCTACCAATACTTCCTTGCATTCATTGCAGTCACTTTTCTAAAGAAGGCCGTAGAGAAAATAGTATTTGTTTTCGTGTAGTTGCAGATGGATCTGGCATCGTCGCTCATCTTTCGAAGGAAGGGTGTGGAAAGAGTTCGGCGCTAACGATCAGTGGACGTTTCAGTTAATTTAACTTTATTTTAATTTTATCAGTTGTTTCCTGATCTTTTGGTTATTTTTGTGCCCTTCACAGCTTTTCAAATAACTCTTCTTCAGCTTTACGCATTTAGCATATATTTTATTGTTGCCGGTGTCTGCGTATTTAACATGGGGGAAGATAGCCAGTATTGATGATTACGCCGCGCTACCATTAATTGACAAAGTTAAGATTTCCTGTGTCATTTTTAGTTTGTTCAAAAATGGGTTGTGCTGTAAGTTCAGCAGCTGACAAAGAAGCTGTCGAAAGATCAAAGAAAATTGACAAAGATCTCAGAGCTGATGGTGAACGACAAGCCCGAGAAGTGAAATTGCTGTTGCTAGGTAAATACATATTGCTTTACCTTTCTGCTGGACCTTCTAAATAATTTTTACGTTTGGTGTTATATATTTTGACTCTTTAAAGAGACATTAGTATTGAAAAGCAGTTATTATTCTGCAGTTTTTTTTATATGCAGAATAAGAAACTGTAAATTCAGATTTAAATGTATCTTTCATTTTGTAAATAAAAGGTCTTACGGAATTAATGTCTTACAGGTAGTAGATTTTGTCTGTAAGAGCAAGAGAAACAAAATATGATATGTAATGCTTATTTATGCGTAGTTGCTAGGTTTAAATGCAACGGCTTTGCTGTCCTCGTATTTATATAAATTATATGAAAGAGATAGGAAAGCACTTTGTTTTTTTATTCCCTGTTTTTAAAGCTTCCTGATAAACAGGCGTAAAATAATGTAAATTAGTTGGTGTTTAGTATTAAATGGTATGAATGTTTTCGTGGGTGGGTAATTATAGACATTTATTGATTCCATTTTGATTTACTGTTATGAAACATGTCAAAAATGATACACTTACGAAGTCACATGCATTGAATTCAAATTCACAGAAACCAAAAGTGAAGATTTAAAAATGCATTTTGTGTGCCATATTATCTTTAATCAAAATATCATTCCAAACAGTAAATTCAGTCTATCTGAATCTACTAGAGTGAAAGATTTGAAATATTTATATGCCCCAAATTACTTCCCATCAAAAAACTTGTTGAAGTGAGAAATTTGAAATATATATTTTTCAAGAATTGTTTAAAATGAATGGTTTCTTGTACAAAATATTTATTAAACAAGAACTTTAAGGATGTCATTTATTATGGGGTAAAAAGTAGAAAATAATAAAGTTTTTGCAAGGAAGTGTTATGGTGTAGTTTGATTGCATTTAGATGGTATTCAGCGTTATGTTTTGTAATTGAGATATGAGACAATTTAATTGAAATTAATCAAATATTTTAGAAATAAAATTTTTTTTAAATAAATAATTAGTGCAAGTTTGAAAATGAAAACAAATATGTGTGAATATATGTTAGAATGACTACAGTCATATTCAGTTTCACGCTATATATATTTCCAATTTTTTTTAATATTATTTTTTTTTTTATTTTTAGAAAGGCAGATAGTTTCAAGTTTTTGAAATATGTGTGTGTGTTTTTTTGTAAGTTTACTTTAGTCTTCTTTATGTTTGAAGACTAATATATGATTGCGGCCCACCAGCGGCCGAGCGGTAAAGTCGCTGAACACTGGTAGTTTGGTCCGAGGTTCGAATCCCGCGAATGGGCTGGCTGCATGGGTGTTTTCGTGGTTTTCCCCATGTGTAACGTGTATACGAGCCAGTTTCCCTTAGAAAGTCCTCCACGAAGGCATCCCTCCCCTTAGGCAGATAGCCCTAGTGAGCTTTGCCATAATTAAATACACCAATATATGATTGCTAAGAGAAAATGCTTTGTAAAGAATCTTTACTTTAATATAAACAAGATACTTTATGATACTAAAGTATCTTATAACATGTGTTCATGGTTATTTCCCATTCTTTTTAAAGTATTTGTTTTTATAAAAGATGTGTCAATGGTTTATGTTGTATTTTGATTACTCTGTGGTTCTCTAAATGTTAGGTACTGACTTCTAGTTTTTTGTCACTTTTCAAGTATATTTAAGAAAATATGTTTGAATTGAAATATTCTATGCAGTTAAATTGCTTTAAAAGAGTGACTAATTAGGCTGAAATCTTTAGAATAAAAAGTATTATAAGGAGGTTTATTCGTCATCATGAATCTGGAAGAAGTATTAAAGGATTCACCCAAATTTGATTTCTTGTAAAAGTTTAAGGTGTATTTACAGGGGGACCTTGAGATACAAGTACCTCTATATATGAGAAATTTGAGATACAAGGAAAGTATGAGCCTAAAATTCATCTCTAAATATGAGCATTGACTCGAATAACAAGGAAGGAACCAGGCTGTGGCGTTTCCTGATCCAGCTTGACTTGGGTATCTTCTTTTCAGATCACTCAGTGTTCTTTGATCTACGTGTTGGTGCGCATGGAAGTTAATTGTTTTTTCCATTTAACGTGAAAATAAATATTTAATGATGCATCCTAAGAAGATTGTTCCTCAGATAGTGCTGCAAAGAAAAAGAAGAAAGCCATGGATGGCCGTTGAAATTAAGAAATTCTAGATAACATAAGCGAAGTGTAAAAGTGACGGAATTAGCAAAGACTTATTACTTTCGACATTGATGATGTGCACTATTGTGAAGAAGAAGGAAGAAATTAAAAAACTTGATGTGGCCATAGTTACCATTATATCCAGGCACCGTCCAAAACTCCTAGAAGATGTTGCTGTGGATTAATGAGAAGCAATTAAAAGGCGATTCAGTGTTGGAAGCTATAATTTGCGCTAAGGCTTGGACCTATACTTGGACCTTCTCTGAATAACACCAGGTGCATCGACTGAAGATGAGTTGGCAGTCAGATTTTTGAGTTGCGGAACAGATTAACTGGATTTTCATTATTTTCAGTGGGGAGGTTTGTTTCTAGATACAAGAAATTTGCTGTATGAGCTCAGTGCTGGAGCCAATTAAACTCGTGTCTCAAGGTTCCACTGTTTTTTATATTTTATATAAACATTGATTGAAAACTCCAGATTAAAGATTTCGTGAGAATTCTGAATTATTATTAGTACATAAACAAGTTATTGTTTTAGTAGTCATAACCAAAATATGATTATGAATTCACTGACTAACTGGTAACACTCGGGGAAGGGGGATAATTCAGGGAATAATTAAATTTGAATTTCTTTATGCATTATTGTAATGTTTAAGAAATGACAAATGTAAATTCTTAATAAAAGAACAGTAAAGTGTGTGTGCAGTTTAAAAGCTGGCATATAAACAATAATTGCATTTATTTTGGAATGTACCTTTTTATATGCAACTTATTAGTGATGAAATGTATTTTGCATTTAATGCAGTTTTAATATTATATACTTTTCTGATTACACTGAAGTTATGTAACAAATGTATACGTTACGAGAGATATTCTATACAGACAAGTTTTATGTAGGATGACATACAGATCATGTTGGATATTTAAATATATTGAATAAAGGATCTTGGATCTTTCTTGTAGGGTTTTCAAACTTGAAGAATGTTCCCTCTTACATAAAAACTAAAAAATTGAAACTTTTGTTTTATGATCATCTTTGATTTCTACTTTCTGTAATTACCCATAATCTAGTTTCTGCAGTCATCAATTTAGTTACGGCAAAATTATTTCTTTCATAAATGAGAATTATAGTTATTTTATGGAGGAAGATCAAAGTATAAATAATCTATATATAGTACATAATTTTGAATAATTTATTACTGTTTCTAAGACATAACACCAGGAAGGAAAGAAGATTGGACAAGCTGTTCAGTTTGAAGCACTTCAGAAGCTCTGTAATGAAAGTATGCGAGACAAAAGCTCGTGCATATAATATAGATGGAATATTTTTTTAATTTGTGTAATAGTTTTTATATATCACTATTCCTACTTAGGTGAGGAATTGCTGTTTTCTTTTGCATTTATAATTTGTACTCAGATCTATTTTTGCTTTAAATTGAGTTCATTAGATAGCAGGGCTATGATGATTTTGCTGATGAGAAATTGTCACATCTATTAGTACTTTTTAAAATATAGTTAAAAATGTCATATTACTGCTAAAGCTATGAAATCCACTGGAAGAAAATCTTGTAATAATCTCTCGATTCTTCCTACAGTGGTACTAATCGGATGGGATTAAAGAACTTAAAACAAGAAGATGTAATGGTTTTAAGTGTTATTTTTCTTTTCGTTTGATATAAAGATATATGCTTGGTTAAATTTTACATAATCTTTTTTTTTTTTTTTTTCAAAATCTTCATTTTTATTATAAATTCAATGGAATTTTTGTATCTGAAAAATTTATGGGGAAAGTGCAGAATCACCTACTGCTTGGCGCATTTTTAGGAGTTGCACAAACTCGGTATTCATGTACACATCAACCTATTTTAACTTAAAAAAATCAGAGAATTGCACAAATTCCGCATTTCGCACTCCTTTGAATTTGTCCATGTACACATCGATGTATTTTCACTTAAAAAGTCAATGGAAATTGCCAAAAATCCAATTCCTCTTACTCTTCTAAAAAACGCCAAACATAATGCACCAAATAAGTGGGTGATTCTGCACTTCACCCATATTTATGTTCATTGTGTAAGGTAAACAAGGCTGAATGTTACAGAATCAAGATTATGGTGCATTATGTCAGATACATAGTATCTTTCTTAGTATTGATACATAGTATACATAAAATCAAATGCATACTGCCACCACATACTCTCTATGATATTTATATGACAGCCAGATTCGCAATCCACAAAATTGATACTATGGTTTACAAATAAATGTTCAAAACCTTCGGTTGATCTTTACAATATGGTAACTGGTAGTTTGGCGACATTTTGGAGGCGATAAAGGTTACTACCTGGGACTTTGGTAATAATGTGAGCAGTACTCAGCTCCGATTACACATTATTTTGTGTGAGGGAAATGAGAGATCATGGGATATGTCATGTGATATTAATGGACGAATTACGGTTCTTTAATCGGAAAAGGGGGGAAATCGTGAAAAAATCTGGAACTTTTGTATTTGGCTTTATTCTGTGTTGTGTGAAACAGTGTTTGTTAATTTTTGGATCCCATGGCCGTATCTAAAGTGAATTCGAAATGGGTATTTAGTGGTATTGAAAAGGGTAGTAATAATTGTTTCTTTAAGGTTGTGCGAGATTGAAATAAAGACGTATTATTAACTTATTTATTTTACCTGGTACCTTGCTGTGAAATATAAGTATGATTTTAAAGATCCTTAAACAGAAAGAAGAAAAGTTTATCGGACACGTAATCAAGATTCTGAAGAAGATTAGGTAAGTTAGTATTTTTAATTATTTGAGGATATTATTTTTATGCATTGTTCTAAA